CCACGGGATGAATTTGGATTTGGACAATGGACAATGGCAGTGCCGGGCAGTGATAACCACAACGCAGCGGCAAGTGTGTCAGTGATGGATTACACTCTCTTTCCCAGCAAGTGGCGCTAAAATGCGTGCGAGGATGAGTCAACAGAGTCATCATTATAGTAGTGGACGAATTTGCGTCATGTTCGGAAGGAAAGTCAAAGATTTTATGGGAATCACCGGTAGAGTCGTTCTTAGCTCTAAATATTCCCTAGAATTTATCTCAAATTTAGTTAACCTTTTGGTTTGGAGGTCTTTAAGGTTTATCTCGACCTCATATATGTATATAAATTGGTGGACCAACCGTTCTCACTTTGTCGGCTGACTTTAAAGGAGCGTCGAGACGCAAAAAGGGTCGTAGATAACACCTAATTAGGGTGTAGAGGATCGTCGCCTGCGGACAAGGCGACTGACAACTTTAGCGCCACTTCTCCGGCCTCGACTCTTCTCGGAGGATGATGCTTATTAGTGCGGGTGGTCGAGGGTCCGACGAGATCGATTTGAGAATCCGCCTAAGAAGGGCCACGCCCCCGAGAGTTGGTCGGAGGAGGAAGCGGCACGCACGCAACCTGAGGCAGCTGCTACCTTAGCCTGTGGAATCAACCATTCCTTAACCACTCTCCTCCGAGTCTTTGGCATCTGTGTATCTTTGTACTGGGTCTAGGCAATACAGCAATCGCTTCTGGCCATCAGTGCTGACCAGTAAGGGATTAAAGTCGAGTTTTATTGTATATACAAATTAAAAAATGAAGAATTGTATGATTTTCCTATTTATTTGCCATAACAAGCCAATAAAACAAAGTGAAACCCAATGAGGAGTCATCTCCGACCATATAAAGACAGTAAGTTACTTTGAACAGTAAGTAACTATGATCGGTATTTAACTATGATCAGAAAGTATCTATGACCACTAAGTAACTATGATCAGTAAGTAACTATGAACTGTAAGTATCTATGGCCAGTAATTAACTATGATCAGTATCTTTGACCACTAAGTAACTATGATCAGTAAGTAACTCTGAAAAGTAAGTATCTATGGCCAGTAAGTATCTATGACCAGTAAATATGTATGATTAGTTACTAACATTCAACACTTAAAAACAATGACTTCCAACTTTTTTCTAGTATCGGTGGACTATATATATACATATATATAGCCGACATAGGAACAATCGGACCATTTATAGAACTATAATCAATAATTAACTATGATCAGTAAAATAGCTACGATCATTAAGTATTTATGACCAGTAAGTAATTCTGAACATTAAGTATCTTTGACCAGTAAGTAACTATGATCAGTAACTAAGTATAATCATTAAATATCTATGACCAGTAAACACCATTGAACATTAAGTAACTATGATCAGTAAGTATCTATGACCAGTAAGTAACTATGATCAGTTACTAACTTTGAACACTAGTAAACAATGACTTGCAACTTTTTTAACAACACATTTCTGAGACTTGTCTGGCAGAAGGCACTTCGTTCCGGGGATGTTTGAACAAGCAAGTCTAGAACTACTACTACTACCGTAAAGGACACGTGGCTATTCTCTTTCGTCATTGTTTACATTGACCAAGAATGGTGACTTCATCCAAAGTGAGTTTCTTCTTAGTCATCCAGATGTACCACGCCATATTTTTGGGATCAAAGGGGGATCACTATCACTATCACTATCACTTGAGATGTTAACACTAGGTACCCCTAGGACAGACTGAGGCGCGCGCGACCTCAGCACCTCTATTTATAGTCCCCGAGCAGAGCAGAGAAGAGCAGAGAAAGTGAGTGTAAGTGCGTGGGAGAGAAGCAGTTGCCTCTAGAGATTAACATACAGTGAGAGGGGGAGAGGCAGAGAGGAGCAGAGAGCTATTTAATTTAACTATAATCAATAAGTAACTATGAGCAGTAAGTAACTCTGATCAGTAAGTATCAATGAATATTAAGTAACTCTGACCAGTAAATATCAATGAACATTAAATAACTCTGAACAGTAAGTACCTATGACCAGTTACTATAAGTTACTAACTTTGAACACTAATATACAATGACTTGCAACTTTTGTAACACAACACATTTCTGAAACTTGGCTGGCAGCAGTCACTTCGTTCCGGGGATGCTAGAACCAGTTGGGAATCATATGCATTGATGTGCTTAAGTAACTATGAGTAGTAAGTAACCCTGAACAGTGAGTATCTATGACCCCTAAGTAACTATGACCAGAAATTATCTATGCTCAGTAAGTAACTCTGAACAGTGAGTATCTGTGAGCAGTATGTATCAATGAACAGTAAGTATCTATGATCAGTAAATATGTATGATCACTTACTAACTTTGAACACTAATAAACAATGACTTGCAATTTTTGTAGCACAACACATTTCTGAGACTTAACCGGAGCAGTCACTTCGTTCCGGGGCTGTTAAAACAAGTTGGGAATCATAAGCACAAGTGTGCAAGATGTGTTTTGGAACAAATTTAAAAGCAAGCTATTTCAATGAAACCAAAGAGAAGAAAGAAAAATTATAACTTTTCCAGTTTTCAAAAGATTTTCATCAAATTTGATATATAGTCGGACTACTATATCATATAGCTGCCGAAGTTAGCTTCGCTTCTAGAATAATTTTAATTTTGGTTGGCCTTGAATAACAAAGTGTTTATGTATAAAATCAAACCAAAGTCGGAATACAAGCAAGTATTTTAAAAGGTAATTCGAAAAATGTATCTATAAACTAGCTCAAGTCTCATCTCCGCTGGCTACGCTTGTTTTTGGTCAGGGTGTCGCCGACGATTCGATGCGTTTCCTTTGGCCAGCACGCTGGCCCAAGCTGAGATAATTACATGTTAATTCGTTAGCTCCTTTCCTTAAGCCGAGAGACGAAGCAATCGAGAATCGAGTCGAAGCAGGCCAGAGGCGGCTCCTTTCGAATCGAATCGAATTGAATGGGATCGAATGGATAATTAAGCAGTTGCCAACAATGTGTGCGGCATTTAATTGGTGATCGAGACCGAGGGCTCTAAGGACACCGGCAGTATCCAGTTCCGATAAGTAGCCGTAGCCGTCGCCCTGGCAGTCGTTGTGTCATGAGTCAGGCAGAAGTTAGAGAAGTCAAAAGTCAGACGCGGGAGTGACCGACCTTGTGGTTAGGTAAATCACCAAGTCGGTGGAGCCATATTAATAACTTTAATTAAAAACGGAGCTCGGGTCCCGAAAGTGTGGGAACCGAATTATTCAAATCGCCATAACTCCGCTCCTTGGGCGCTCTGGGCCGAGCTGCTCCTTTGAAGCACCTCCTCGGAGAAGGTGAGCTCTCTCATATGCATATTTATTGCATTTTTTCTCGACGCGCCGGCAACGCCCCCAAAAGAATATTCACAATGGAATTTCAATTCCATTCGCGGCCGACTTGGACTTGGGAGTAGCAACAGCAGGATCAGCCTCGGACTGGATCCATCCCAGAATGCACATTCGATTCTCTCCCGCCTGCGATTCGCGGGAATAATTAAAATTTATATATGTTTTGGGTTCGCGGTTCGGTTCGGTTTGGTTGGGTCTCGGGTTTCGTTTTTTTTCGCCTTTTTTTTTAGCCAGTGCTTCTAATTCGTTCGTTTCAACGATTTCGCTCCTCGTCTGGCGGCGGGCAATCACAAATCCATTTCACTTTCATAACTCATCGGATCCAGGCAATTTACATTGCCGGCTGTCACCGCTCTTCCCTGCCCGGATCCCTTGCCGGAGTCCGGAATCTGGAATCCTTTTTCGCAATCATTTTCAGCTCATCTGCTTGTCCCGACAACAGAGTCACGTTGTGGAAGTTAACATGAATGCGTTACATTTAAATGGTTGTCAATTGAAAAATTGCAAAGTCCCTACACCATAAAAAATGTATTAAATTTAATAAATAATATTACGTGGCAGGAAAAATAGGAAATAGCTCCAAGGGACTGTGACGACAGCTCCTCAGCTTGTACATTACAGGCAAAGCTAAAGCTTTAACTTTAAGAGAAACGGAACGAGGAAAAGGACGAATAATCATGAGTTTCGCCTCGAGAATCTTAAGAAACTTAATGCTTTTATTTCAAATGTTCAAATTAAAGAGTTTAAAGTTTCAAGGTGACTATATCTTAGAATTATATTTCTTCGAGTGCAGTCAGTATTCGCTTTCTGTTTCTCAATGGCACTCTCCCGTAATTGAGAGACAACGTGCGTGGCGGAAGATGGGCGAGGAAACAATGACACCGGCATCATCCGTCCACATCCATTCCAGCGCCTGGCACGTCCGCAAAGTGGCGTTTCCATTGGTGTCCACTATTCCACTGGAATCGCCGGCCCACACCACGTCCACGTCCACATCCTCGTCGCGAATGCGGAACGCATTTGAAATGAGCTCAGTGGTGGAGCGGGCGTCGAAAAGCAACAACTGCAAAATGAATATTCGAAATTGCAGTGATATATCATCGATGGATTGTTCAGCGGTTCGGCTATATATTCGCCCCTCCCCCTGCCCGCACCCCGCAACGGTGAATCGTGAAACGTTACGCAAATTTTCTGGCAGATTGTCATGTTTCTGATGGTTTGGCAAAATGATTGATTACTTTGTTCCTGTTCCCCGGAAAGAGCGAACGAATGGGCTGGAAGTGGCGGTGGAAATGGCAAAGAGCGATGATGAAAGTGCCAAATCGGAAATGCAAAAGTGGGGGGAAAAGTGCAGGAGGAAAAACGACGGATTGATTGAAAAGGGTTTTCCGATAATAGTAGTAGCTGCGTGCGAAGCTCTACGATCAATGCGTCCGTCCATCAATCCCCCGACACTTTCACGATGGGCCATTTGTTTTTCATTCCATGAATTTAATCAAAATTAAGAAGCAAAAGTGTAAAGTGTTCGAGCAATAAACTATATGTATCCGTGGAAAGGGAATACTTTTCGTCAAACAAGAAAAAGCAACAAATTGACTAACTGAATCGAGTTACCCGAGTCGGAGATGTCATAGATAGGGTTTTTAATTATTATTAGGTTAAGCTGCCCAGGAACTTCAGTACAAAATCGTTTCGTATTCGGATATCACAACCATCTATTTCCAAAACATAGATCCGATGAACAAAATTAAACCAATTTCAGTGGACAAGATCCTAAGCCTACGGCGTCTTCCTAGTCCGCAGCAGCAGCAGACTGAGAACATGGAGTATGTGCCCAGCTTCCTGCCGCGTCAGCTCAGCGCTGACCCCACTCACCTCCAGGAGCAGAGGCCTCCACCCAAGGGGCGCTGGATGTCGGCAAGTGCAATGGACTTGCCGCCCCCACTAAGATCTCCCATGTCCCAAGCGAATCGCCAGCGGGAGCTGCACTCGCCCAACCAATACATCTTCATACTGAAGACACTGGTGGGTGTGATCGCGGTCTGCACTTTCTTGAGCATGATTGTCGTTAGTCGCCTCGGCCAGGATGGGGAACAAGATACAAGCCCGAAGGTCCTGATCCTGCTGTGGAACGAGGACCTATCCAAGATGCCCAGGGGACCAACGCACACGGAGTGCGGCTGTGTGGTCACCACTCGCAGGAAGGATTTCTACCAGCCGTATGACGCCGTCGTCTTCAACGCAGATCTGCCCTACTCCCTTGATGATTTCAGCGATATCAACCGCACTGCTAACTTTCTGTCGGTCTTTGCAGCCAGGAATCCCCTGAGCCTGGCCCATGGCCCAGGTCCCTGGCCCGCAGACGATTGGCCTTTCTTCAACCTGACTATGACCTATCGCCTGGACTCGCAACTGGTCTGGTCGGAATACTACTTCTCGCACATTAACAGGGCCAGGAGGTTAAACTCGTTCCGTGCCCCCAGTGAGAACTTCTCCGACGATATGCCAGCAAATAAGATCCAAGTCCTAGAGAACCACATAAAGAAGAAGGATCGCCTGGCCATGTATATCGTCTACGAGGTGGATGCGGCAAGCAGGCCTGAGAGCCACTACTTGGCAAAGCTGCGCAAATACCTCGACCTCGATGCCCAAGAGAACTGTGTGGGTTTCAACGAGTAAGTTAAGGGATTCCCACCCTTAGAATACCCCTTAATTGATATCCCCCCACCCCGCACAGCTGCAATCACTACCACTTCATGCTGATCTTCGATACTACCGCCTGTCCAGACTACGTGCCCACCCAGATGTATATTGCCATGCATAATTTTGTAGTGCCTGTCCTAATCGGAGGCGGAAACCTGTCCCATCTGGTGCCGCCGCAGTCCTACATCAGCAACCGCGACTTCCCGAATCCCAAGGATCTGGTGGCACATCTAGAGCGCCTGGCGAATGAAACGGAGGAGTACCAACGCTACTTCTGGTGGCACTCGGTCTACAAGCTCCGTCGCACCTCGCTGCCCTACTGCCAGCTCTGCTCCTACCTCAAGCCTTCGCCGGAGGAGCGTCTCATCGAGACCTCCTCGCCAATGGACTTTGCCGCCTGGTGGAGCACATACCAGTGCCCCAAACAATTCACCACCTTCCTGTGATCCGCCCCGAGCGGTACTCATTCCACAATTTCCCGAGTCCCCAATTATAATTACCAACGATCGCAAATTGGTCTTGATCGGTCTGGTTCCGTTCAGTTGACGTTGACTTTGACTTCTTGAGTTCTGGGCTTCCCTTTCTTCCCGGCTTCCTTTCGGTCAGCGGGGTTCTTGCTGGGTTTTAATTCCGCGGAATTTCGGCGGCTCTCCATTGTCCTCGCCGACAACTCCGGGTTGCAGGGAGCCCTAATAAGATATACTCTATCGGTGAAGTTGGGTTTAAATAAAGCGGAGAGAAGGTGGAAAGTGTTTGCCATCATTTTGGGTCATTTTTAGACCATGGGTTTTATGCTTTCTTAAATATTCCTAATATTTTTAAGCTTGCATTCAACGATATATATTTAATTCGCTGCTATTAAGAGCACAAAAAATTCGGATTTGGACCAAAAACTGACATAATTCTGCTTTCAAAATTTTGGGTTATTTTCGCAAATGGTTGGGATGGGCCTCGTCCCAAGGATGGCAGGATACTTCGCATTCCAACCCGTGCCAGGCAGCCCGGTATGCCGCCATATGGGACGAGGCGACATGGAAGGATGGAGGAGGACGCTGCAGCCGGGCTATTGTCGCTCAAGTGGAGCCTTGTGCTGGTGGGAAAACGCAGGGACAGCCGTCAACGACACTGGCACTGGGCATAGATAAAGCAAATATGTAGAACTTGTTCCCCATTGTGGACCATTCCAGATGGAGATGGAGATGGAGATGCGAGTGGAGTGGAGTGGGCAGCTGCTGACGCGAACGAGTGGGCGACAAGACAAGACAAGGCGGTGCCGTCCAGAAAATGTGGGATAAGGTGGAATAGTGGTGGGTCCAGGTGTGGTGCCAGGCGGCAGATCTGGGACTGAGGCTCACACAATGCACGAAAAACAAACAGAATTGTCATGGGAAATATTTCACGGCGTTGCCGGCAGTTCTGGACGAGTGAAGTGCCCAAGATGTGCTCCCCATTGCCCCTCCAATCTCACATCTCTCTCTCCCCGCTCGGAATGCCTTTCAGAACGGTATCACGGGCACAAAACACTTTTTTTCTCGCCACACACAACACAATATTTATAAGTTAAATGCTTCACTAAACAATAAGCCACAGCGGACAACTGGCTGAAGTTGTGACGGCTATTGCACTGCGAGTAATCGCTGACCCTGATGTGGTCCCTTAGTACAAGCCCTAATACAGTAAAGCAGGATTTCTTGTAAGAGATTTCGAATCATTTTTCCCTGAATAGTATTTAATACACTTTTCCACCCAATTTTTCTTGCTCTGCACAATCCGAACTGGGACTGTGACATGGTAAAAATAAGAAAATGTAAGTTGAAGGCGAGGCGATAATGAAACCAAAGACAAGCACATCGGACCAGGTCCAGGGCCTTGGACCCTTCCAGTTGACAGGTTGTCCCTTGTTGCCCTCCGCCCTCCCCGGCGACTCCCCACCAGCACCCTCGGGTGGCCTGCTCTCCTGGATTCTCAATTCGGTTCTGGGAAGTTCTCATCATCTCACTCTCCCGCCGCCCTTTGGCTTCGTGTTTGCCCATTCTGTTATCAACTATTACAATATTTTTGTTTAATTGACAAACAGGTTTATCATTAACATTTTTCTCACTCGCAGCTCCAGCTCCTCTCGGATGCGTTGGCGGCGGCTGCCTTCTCCACTTCTCTGGAGTTTCTTGCTTTTTTTTTGGGAAAGCATTCCTGGAGTGGGAAGCAGCGGCGCTTCAGTTGACGCTCCAACTGTTTTCCCACACTGATTTCTGATATTTCTGGACACCGTGAAGCAGCAGAGCAAACTGAACTACAATGGGATGATGTGAGAAGTGTACTAAATGGTCAATAAACAAGGGGAACCTTTCCTCTGACGACGTTGGGAAAATCAATTGGGAATTGCAAGCTTTGTGGATCAAAGTCAAATAGGTCGTGGAAAAATACCAATATTCCATTTATTGATTTTGTTAAAACGGCGCATATATGGAATTCTTTCAATTGCATTTCGCAGTTATACATATTTTCCAGATATAAATATGCATTCCCTACCACTGTGCGATCCAAACAACCAAACAACATCAAACTTTAACAACTCAATCACGACAAAATGTCGCCAAAAAGAAGTGGCAGATAGAAGGCTCCGTATCTTTATCTAATTACCTTAAGGGGCCTTCTACTTCTATCCCCATCCCCGGCCTCGTAAACCACTAAGTGGCAGCCAAGTTTTGGGATTAAAAAAAGAACTTTGGGCCGAAAGACTTCTGCTTGGCTTGTTTGCTTTTGGCGCTGCCGTGAAAATGCATCTTCCCTTCGGCCCCTTTTTCCCCAATTCAAAATTCTATGTGTGTGTGTGTGCCCGTTTTCTCACCTGTGGCGGAGTTGGCGGCGGCTACTGTCGATGCTCGTTTTAATTTGTTTGTTTACATTTCGTTGCCCCACCTGCAACCTGCAGCAGCAACAGAAGCAGCAGCAGCAGCGACGGCGGCAGCAAAGTTTGTTCCCATCTCGCAAATGTTTGGAAATAGACGGAATGGGACGCTGGGTCCACGGGGAGAAGCTGCTCCACACTGATGCATGCTGCTCCGCTGGGAGTACAGCGTGTGTTTTGGTGTTAACAACTCGACACTTCATTAATTGAAGTTGAAAAAGTGCAGCTATAAAAAGACTATTAAGTTCCAGGCCCACAACAATGGAACAGATCGGAAGAGAATAGAGAACACTCGGAGAAATTAAGTCACAATTCGGAGAGTTTAAAGAAATTGTTCAACTCATTTAAATGCGAACTCTTCTTTATAATATTTTGTATAATAAAATATAAAATAATATATTAATATAATAATCAATGCAGGGTCAGGTATAAGTAGTAGCAGAAGTAGATAATTATTAAAGTCAGGGGATTCATTAGGTTTTGCTGGCTTATTTTATATTCACAAATTCCGCAGAAAAAAAGGTAAACAAAGGAGCTTTACACCTTGCGAACTTTTAAAATTAGTAGCCACAAGAGTGGATCATATTCTTAAAACGGCTCTCCCGCTCTTAGGTTCCACTTTACAGGTTGATAAGAAACAGATTTATAGATCGAAAAGGGGAGAAATATTGGCTTGCAAAGGCATAGGAAGACAAAGATAAGAGCAAGAAAAAAACTTTTGTTTCACTCACCCCTTTACATTAGTTGTGGCTGCAGATCGATGCCAACGGTGAATTAGTGGACAACATACAACAAAAACCCTTCTCAATTGAAGAATCATTGTTTTTGCCATATAAAACGAAACTACGCACTAATATTCGATATGTAAAAAACCGTGACAGGGGCCGGGGCTAGGTTAGGGGGCTAACTAAGTAACACTTTTCACTATACTCTTAATTTATTACAATTTCTTTTTTCATTTTCACATATAAAAAATTTAAAAAAATAAAATAAAATAAAAATCAATCTTGGCACTATAAAAAATAAAAGAAAAATAAAACACAACAGAGGCTGTTCTTAGCCTTTCCATAACTTCACTAATACTTTTCACTTCACTTTGATTTCACTTACACTTTTGGCCCCTGTCTTTACTATTGCGTCGTAAGTTTTAACATTTTTTTCACCGATCTACCTGCGCGGATGAACTGATTAGCAATGATAAGCGGGAGAAGCTTCGGGAGAGGTCGCTCTATGATGGAAGGCGGCGATGCTTCGGCTTGTGGGCGAGAGAGGGAAGCTGTCCACTTCCAACAAGCTTTCAATTTCGACCTAAGCCTGGAAATACAATGCAATTTATATAGTTTATTATAGAAATAAGTTTAAATGTAATCTTAAAAATCAGAGGAAATATAATTATAGGGTGTTAATACGATACAGCTAATACGATTTTAATAAATTTAAATAAGGAATAATTTGAAGTCAAAAGCGTCTTACCCTCCAAGAGAATAAAAACCAATTCTAAATTTTAGCTGTTTAATAACTAACTAATTTTTTCGACGAGTGCATCTGGAAGCAAAGAATCAAAGTGAACTTCGAGTGGCTGCAATGTGCCCATCGAATGCACATAACATAAAATGTTCCACGGTGGAGGGAACTTTCCGAGTCTCTGAGTTCGCATTAGACGCAAATTTGATGGCTATTGAAAAGTTCAATGGTTTCCAGCGTCTCGAAGAGTCTTCCTCCATCCCGGAATCCGAAAAGTGGCCCTCAATAGAGTGTGAGTCTTTGTTTACCCCATACTCCCACTCTGCCCATGCAAGTGGATGTGGAAGAGGGAATGGGAGACACATCAGAAATATCTGGAAATATCTGGGGTAATAGAGAAACCTAATGTGAGCATATCACAATTAAGAATTTGGCAAGACGGCAAGCAATATACAGAGATTTTCCAACGCATATTTCCAAATATTTAATGGACAATCGTTGGGCAAGCACCAGAACTGCAGGAGTCCAGATCGCTCTCCCTCCATCCCGAAGTCCCCGATCCCAGTTCCGATCCGATCGTCACACATAAATAGTTCATGGCAGTGGCCATAAAAATAAATCTATATGCAAATGTGACTTCAGCTTAACATGCCACAGTGTCACAGAGGGTGAGCTTGAGCCTAGCCAAAAATAGGGAAGGTAATTTCAAATATTTCGATCGTGAAATACCCTTTGAAAATTACATTGATGCTCAAGAAGACCTTTAAGAAACATTTCAATATACTTTCAGATCTGTGTCTTAATTGTTTTGTTTTCGTAACAAGTGTTTTATGGTTATTACTTGGATATACAGGAGGAGCAATCACTTTGTATAGTGTCTATAATTATTTCCAGACCTCTTTGAAAAGTACCAAAAGTTTGTGAAATTACTAAAGTAAAAAGTCATTAAGATAATTTGTACAAATAATAAAAATACTTAAGAAGAAGGTGTAATCTATGAATGAAAGATGTTATACATAATCGTTGTCGTTTAGTTGGGTATTCAATACCCTGTAAAACTTTTTGGATCTAGCGACAGTCAAGGACTTCTCGAAAGAATCACAAAATCCGAAATCCCTGGCGCAGAGGCGTCTCCAGTTTAGTGCCTGTCTCAACAGCGACTTCCAATCTTAACAAAATGTGACAAGTTGCGGAATTATTTTTCGCAGAAGATGTTCTCCAACCCCGACTGCAACTGCAACTGCAACTGCGACTGTGATTTCGATTCCGAAACCGAGTCCGTTCTGTTTTGTTCTGCGTGCAGATGAACCGAGATTGATAAGCGGCAAGGAGGCAAGGAGGAGCGTGTGGATCCACCACGAGCTTTGTGACTCTGTGCAGCGTTCAGCAGAGATGCAAGTGCCTAGATAAGGCCAACGATTTATGTGGAAGCTCCTGAGAGCTGGAGACCTGAGGCGCTGCGAGGAGCAGCCCGCGATGACAACAGTAGCATCCATCCAGAGCAGAGAATGCGCCGGCAATTTAGAGGCGATTACAACCGGCAATGGCATTTTAAGTGGCCATTGTCAAGGCGCGATCTGTGGGCGCGTGATAAGCGCCAGCTCCCTGCCGTATGGGCGATCGGTTCCCCAAGGTGTGGGAGGTGTGAGCGAGCACTGGAGGAGCCGGAGATGAGACCGAGAGATCTAGGAAACTGGCAATAATATCACTGAATAATATTATTCAGGTTCCCCCAAGGGTACCTTTCACAGGTGAGCCTCCAAAGCCATATCTTTATATTCAGAAAATTTGAAACAGAGAAGGTGTCAGTCGCTACACTTTTGACACCTGGGACCCGGAGGTTCGATGGTCTTGGGCACATACGAGGGATCCTTCTTCTGGGCCACCTCCTCGTTCCACAGCTTGTTGAGGTAGTCCTCCAGCTTGGCCACGACATCCTCTTCTCCCTGCGAGCAGCTGGCAAAGGCCGAGCCGCTCTCCCCCTCGGAAGTGGAGGTGCCTTGGCACACGTTTGTGGCCTCGCTGCAGGAGTCGTGCTTGCAATCGATGGGGCAGTGGTGGTTGTCCCAGTCCTCTGGCGGTTCCATGGCCTCCATATAGTTGCTACCCTTCGCCTCCTCATCCTCCGTCCCGCCGTCGGCACCGTCGGACGTGGCATGGACTGGCTCCTCGACGCGATACCACTTCACTTTGTACGAATCCTGGCCGCACTCGCCGAACTGCTCTCCGGTCAGCTGATCGATGTTGCACTCGCAGATCAGGAACGGCGAGTTGCACCGCTGACACCGCGGCAGGTTCACCTCGTGGTTGATGATGGGTCGCGGAGGCTTCTTCTTCATCTTTATATCCTGGGCGGTCATCCGAGGCATCTGCAGGCCGCACATAATGCAGGGCTCCGGCAGATCAGCCCCCTCCGATAAGGTGAGCTTCTGCACCGGCCGCTGACCAGCCTTGGGATGGCCGGGCACCTCCTGCTTGGAGCAGCCCTTGCACGGGCAGCCAGGTACCAGGAGCGGATCCGACCTGGCCGTCATCCGCTGGTACAGCGCAGTGTAGACCAGGTTGATCTGACGCTCGTAGTGCTGGTGGGCCCAGAAGAAGGCCGCCTTGTAGTTGTCGAAGATGCGGGCGGTCTTGAAGGCGGCGTGCATCCAAGCCGAGTGCTGGGTATGCACCGCCATGGCGTCCACGATGGGATTGCTGATGGTCACCGGCGGCTTGCCGTGGTAGAAGGCCTTGAAGGCGCGTTTGATGATTGAGTACGAAAGCATCGCCTCAACGGGCTCCATTTCGCACTTCAGCCGCAGCGCCTGGAGCAGATCCTCGCGATTCAGGTGCGTTCCCGGTGCCGGCTTTGGAGGGCAGTTGGTGCGCAGGCGCTCGTGATAGACAAAGGCCCGCTTGATAATCCCCCTGGCCATGCGGCACTTCCTCGTGTCGATGCCGCAGATCACCATTACCTGTGCCAGGCTCTTGGCTATGTCCTCCACATTGTCGTCAAACAGCTGGTAGGGATCCAGCTTTCGCTTGCAGTTGCAGCAGCATCGTGTGACGGCCGGAGAAGGAATTCCGGCCAGTTCCTGCAGCTTCCTGGCCTTCTCGAAATTTTCCATGTTAAAGAGCAAAAGCAGAACCCAAAGGACATGCGAAAAATAAATACACCAACCGAATTTTGCTCTAGCTATTCTATACCGACATTAAAAAGTGTTATGATCACAATAAGTTCTGTTGGAGAGTAAAGGAGCAGTGTACTGATTACCCAATTTTTTTAAAACTAAATTTCAAAACAAATTTTGTATTCTCCAATCAAATTAAGTAAAACAAGAAAGGAAAATGCATTCGGGTAACCCTGGCAGGTTGGTAATAAAAAAAAATCGTATTGATAGATTATAACAAAACTTAAAAAATAGTATTCTTTGAATCGATCTTTATCTATATTATTATATTAAATTATTATTCGACAGATCAAAGTTTAAAAAACCCTTAACAACGTCAGAAAGGCACTAATTTCAATTCGGAAAGCTCTCCTGTGTTAGTTTTTAGAAGGTTAACAAATCTGCATACTCAATATACAATTTAGAAAAATTCAAATTTTTATCCACTTTAAAAGATTTTTCAATTTATAAAAATTGGAAAAAATGGCCAAAAAATGTTTTCCTTTTCTGCATGCCTAGAAAGATTCGCCTGTTGATGCTGATTAAGAATATATACGGATTACTCCTTCCAGAGTTATAAGCTTCTGACTGAATTATAATACCATATTTTTAGTAGATATTTATCTATATTTTTTATAGCACCATTTATTAATATATCAAATATAAAAAAACTCATAACTACGCCAAAACGGCACTAATTTTAATTCGGAAAGCTGTCCCATGTTAGTTTTTATTATGATAACAAATCTGCATACTCAGTTTAAGATGTATAAAAATTTGAATTTTTATCAATTTTTTTAATTTTATAAAATGGGAAAAAATGGCGAAAAAATGTCATCCTAATTTTTATGCCCAGAAAGATTCGCCTGTTGATGCTGATCAAGAATATATATGGATTATAGGGCCGGAAATGACTCCTTCCAGCGTTATAAGCTTCTGACTAAATTATAATACCATATTTTTAGTAGATATTTATCTATATTTTTATAGCACCATTTATTAATATATCAAATATAAAAAAACTCATAACTACGCCAAAACGGCACTAATTTTAATACGGAAAGCTGTCACATGTTAGTTTTTATTAGGATAACAAATCTGCATACTCAGTTTAAAATGTATAAAAATTTGAATTTTTATCAATTTTTTTAATTTTATAAAATGGGAAAAAATGGCGAAAAAATGTCATCCTAATTTTTATGCCCAGAAAGATTCGCCTGTTGATGCTGATCAATAATATATATGGATTATAGGGTCGGAAATGACTCCTTCCAGAGTTATAAGCTTCTGACTGAATTATAATACCATATTTTTAGTAGATATTTATCTATATTTTTATAGCACCATTTATTAATATATCAAATATAAAAAACTCATAACTACGCCAAAACGGCACTAATTTTAATTCGGAAAGCTGTCCCATGTTAGTTTTTATTAGGATAACAAATCTGCATACTCAGTTTAAGATAAATAAAAATTTGAATTTTTATCAATTTTTTTAATTTATAAAATGGGAAAAAATGGCGAAAAAATGTCATCCTAATTTTTATGCCCAGAAAGATTCGCCTGTTGATGCTGATCAAGAATATATATGGATTATAGGGCCGGAAATGACTCCTTCCAGCGTTATAAGCTTCTGACTAAATTATAATACCATATTTTTAGTAGATATTTATCTATATTTTTATAGCACCATTTATTAATATATCAAATATAAAAAAACTCATAACTACGCCAAATCGGCACTAATTTTAATTCGGAAAGCTGTCCCATGTTAGTTTTTATTAGGATAACAAATCTGCATACTCAGTTTAAGATGTATAAAAATTTGAATTTTTATCAATTTTTTTAATTTTATAAAATGGGAAAAAATGGCGAAAAAATGTCATCCTAATTTTTATGCCCAGAAAGATTCGCCTGTTGATGCTGATCAAGAATATATATGGATTATAGGGCCGGAAATGACTCCTTCCAGAGTTATAAGCTTCTGACTAAATTATAATACCATATTTTTAGTAGATATTTATCTATATTTTTATAGCACCATTTATTAATATATCAAATATAAAAAAACTCATAACTACGCCAAAACGGCACTAATTTTAATTCGGAAAGCTGTCCCATGTTAGTTTTTATTAGGATAACAAATCTGCATACTCAGTTTAAGATGTATAAAAATTTGAATTTTTATCAATTTTTTTAATTTTATAAAATGGGAAAAAATGGCGAAAAAATGTCATCCTAATTTTTATGCCCAGAAAGATTCGCCTGGTGATGCTGATCAATAATATATATGGATTATAGGGTCGGAAATGACTCCTTCCAGAGTTATAAGCTTCTGACTGAATTATAATACCATATTTTTAGTAGATATTTATCTATATTTTTATAGCACCATTTATTAATATATCAAATATAAAAAAACTCATAACTACGCCAAAACGGCACTAATTTTAATTCTGAAAGCTGTCCCATGTTAGTTTTTATTAGGATAACAAATCTGCATACTCAGTTTAAGATGTATAAAAATTTGAATTTTTATCAATTTTTTAATTTTATAAAATGGGAAAAAATGGCGAAAACATGTCATCCTAATTTTTATGCCCAGAAAGATTCGCCTGTTGATGCTGATCAATAATATATATGGAATATAGGGTCGGAAATGACTCCTTCCAGAGTTATAAGCTTCTGACTGAATTATAATACCATATTTTTAGTAGATATTTATCTATATTTTTATAGCACCATTTATTAATATATCAAATATAAAAAAACTCATAACTACGCCAAAACGGCACTAATTTTAATTCGGAAAGCTGTCCCAAGTTAGTTTTTATTAGGATAACAAATCTGCATACTCAGTTTAATATGTATAAAAATTTGAATTTTTATCAATTTTTTTAATTTTATAAAATGGGAAAAAATGGCGAAAAAATGTCATCCTAATTTTTATGCCCAGAAAGATTCGCCTGTCGATGCTGATCAATAATATATATGGATTATAGGGTCGGAAATGACTCCTTCCAGAGTTATAAGCTTCTGACTGAATTATAATACCATATTTTTAGTAGATATTTATCTATATTTTTATAGCACCATTTATTAATATATCAAATATAAAAAAACTCATAACTACGCCAAAACGGCACTAATTTTAATTCGGAAAGCTGTCCCATGTTAGTTTTTATTAGGATAACAAATCTGCATACTCAGTTTAAGATGTATAAAAATTTGAATTTTTATCAATTTTTTTAATTTTATAAAATGGGAAAAAATGGCGAAAAAATGTCATCCTAATTTTTATGCCCAGAAAGATTCGCCTGGTGATGCTGATCAATAATATATATGGATTATAGGGTCGGAAATGACTCCTTCCAGAGTTATAAGCTTCTGACTGAATTATAATACCATATTTTTAGTAGATATTTATCTATATTTTATAGCACCATTTATTAATATATCAAATATAAAAAACTCATAACTACGCCAAAACGGCACTAATTTTAATTCTGAAAGCTGTCCCATGTTAGTTTTTATTAGGATAACAAATCTGCATACTCAGTTTAATATGTATAAAAATTTGAATTTTTATCAATTTTTTAATTTTATAAAATGGGAAAAAATGGCGAAAAAATGTCATCCTAATTTTTATGCCCAGAAAGATTCGCCTGTTGATGCTGATCAAGAATATATATGGATTATAGGGCCGGAAATGACTCCTTCCAGCGTTATAAGCTTCTGACTAAATTATAATACCATATTTTTAGTAGATATTTATCTATATTTTTATAGCACCATTTATTAATATATCAAATATAAAAAAACTCATAACTACGCCAAAACGGCACTAATTTTAATTCGGAAAGCTGTCCCATGTTAGTTTTTATTAGGATAACAAATCTGCATACTCAGTTTAAGATGTATAAAAATTTGAATTTTTATCAATTTTTTTAATTTTATAAAATGGGAAAAAATGGCGAAAAAATGTCATCCTAATTTTTATGCCCAGAAAGATTCGCCTGTTGATGCTGATCAAGAATATATATGGATTATAGGGCCGGAAATGACTCCTTCCAGCGTTATAAGCTTCTGACTAAATTATAATACCATATTTTTAGTAGATATTTATCTATATTTTTATAGCACCATTTATTAATATATCAAATATAAAAAAACTCATAACTACGCCAAAACGGCACTAATTTTAATTCGGAAAGCTGTCCCATGTTAGTTTTTATTAGGATAACAAATCTGCATACTCAGTTTAAGATGTATAAAAATTTGAATTTTTATCAATTTTTTTAATTTTATAAAATGGGAAAAAATGGCGAAAAAATGTCATCCTAATTTTTATGCCCAGAAAGATTCGCCTGTTGATGCTGATCAAGAATATATATGGATTATAGGGCCGGAAATGACTCCTTCCAGCGTTATAAGCTTCTGACTAAATTATAATACCATATTTTTAGTAGATATTTATCTATATTTTTATAGCACCATTTATTAATATATCAAATATAAAAAAACTCATAACTACGCCAAAACGGCACTAATTTTAATTCTGAAAGCTGTCCCATGTTAGTTTTTATTAGGATAACAAATCTGCATACTCAGTTTAAGATGTATAAAAATTTGAATTTTTATCAATTTTTTTAATTTTATAAAATGGGAAAAAATGGCGAAAACATGTCATCCTAATTTTTATGCCCAGAAAGATTCGCCTGTTGATGCTGATCAATAATATATATGGAATATAGGGTCGGAAATGACTCCTTCCAGAGTTATAAGCTTCTGACTGAATTATAATACCATATTTTTAGTAGATATTTATCTATATTTTTATAGCACCATTTATTAATATATCAAATATAAAAAAACTCATAACTACGCCAAAACGGCACTAATTTTAATTCGGAAAGCTGTCCCAAGTTAGTTTTTATTAGGATAACAAATCTGCATACTCAGTTTAATATGTATAAAAATTTGAATTTTTATCAATTTTTTTAATTTTATAAAATGGGAAAAAATGGCGAAAAAATGTCATCCTAATTTTTATGCCCAGAAAGATTCGCCTGTCGATGCTGATCAATAATATAT